CTCATACAAGAAAAAAAAATTGCTGCCTGTCTGTTGAACTTGTTGTTTTGCTAGAAAATTTATATACAGCATTTTTGTGTGCATATACATATCGAATATAGTTTTGTGGACGGGGGAGAGAACGATGTGGAAATTGTAGATTTCCTCATGTACGCCTTTCAATCTACTCCCAAAAAATTTCATTTGTTTTTCGATTTTTTTTACTGTTATTGAGTATGGAGATGGAGTCATGAGAGTTGTCAATTGTGCAGTTAAAGTGTTACATTTGTTTTGTCGGATGATTTATTGGATTAAAAAAAGGCACTCATGAAAATTGAGTAATCCATTAAAATTTCTGGATCTTCAATTTGATGAGCTTTGTCGATTTGTTTCTCCCATAAGAAACATTTTTGTAGTTCACCAATCAATTTTGGTCTTTCGTCCATAAAATATTTCTGCTCGTAAAAATTCAGCAAACACATTTTTTTTGCATCATTCCAAACATTAGCTTTTATCATGCCTTTTTGCTTGCAGATGTTGGTAATTTTAAAGACACAAAGACACCACTAATGCCACTCAAACCAACAGGTAGAGATTCCATTATATCATACATACTTATGATTTTTAAAAACATATTTTTGTGCATGTGTGTGAATGTGATAAAATTCTCATGTTAAGGAAATTAAGCTTGAAAGCTTTTTGGATAGAATAATATGAAAGGGTTATTTTAAAAGCATCAAGGGATATGGTGTTGAGGCAAATTTAGCTTAAAAGGTTTTTTAAATTTGTTTTTTGGGGTTTCGAAAGTAATTTTATGGAAATTGAGCTTTGGATTCTGAATTTTTTAAAACAAAAGTTATATTAAGAACTAATAACAATAATATCATTTCGGAATTCTCGTCCATTATAATTAAAATTTAAAGACATAGCAATTTGCAGAAATTCCACATCATCAAATTCGAATCTCTCGACAAATAAGCTAGTTAAAGCTTATCTCAGCATAAAGTTTGTTTCTCTCAAGGGGATAACAACATGATGGAAAAAATATTTCATAAGAAAAATTTATAAATTTTCCAAATACTTCCTATCATAATTTTCAAAGGAATTTCTGTTCAAAACATTTCTCCATTAAGTTGTTGTCCCCTTAGTGCCTGCATCTCTTCACATCTTCCATTGCCACAGTAATTTTCTATTTAACAGAACTTTTTTTTACATTTTATTTTACATTGCTTGCTGTAATTGTTGCATATGTATAAGGCACACATATTTCATTTCCATAATAGCATTACATTTAAGAAACCACATTACTCATTTCTACAAATTCACAACATTCTGTTTGTTATGCACATTTTGTGTTTCCACTTTTTTTTTGCTGTTCCTTGTAATGTCTGGAGAGAAAGAAAGTTTTCGTGCTGTTGATTTATGTAAATAATCTTATAGAACTGCATTATTCAACCACCCCCATATTCATAGAATAAAAGCTCCTATCATACTCATTTTTGGCTTAACCCTAGACTATATAATTTCACATAACTAGCTTCATTGTTATTAAATATTTCATTCACGAAATATGAAAATTTTTTTTTCTGTATGTGTGTACCTATGTGAGCTTACTTTTGTGATGGAAATGGTTTTCTGATGTTCATTTTGACTGATGGATGTCTGGGGGTGGATTTTAAACTTAATTTTTTGACAGCTGTATTAGATTTGAACTTGATTTTGGAAGAGTAGAAAGTCTTTACCCTTTTGAGCCTATTTTTGGCTACAACAATCTATGTGATGTAATTCTCATGATTTATAGAGTTTTATGTGCGCCTAATGCTCATTAAGTCAAACTTATTAATTTTTCTCAAACAAATTGCGAACGAGAAACTTAAACATCTGATTTTTTTTTTGTTTTACTACAAAACCACTTAACTGCCACTATAATATGCATCAACAAATTTATTTATTTATTTATGTGTTGATTTTTCCCTTGCATGTTTACTTATTCCTTGCCTGCTGTTACTCGAAACAAAAAAAAATTTTCTACTTTTGTAGTTTTTCAGTCTGCAATTTTGATTTCTGTGAAACAAAAAAATACTGCAATTCTTTACTTACATTACATAAATTATGGTGGACTTTATATCGTTGGAATTTCGAGCAAGAAAATTTTTTTTCATAATTTGCTGTAATTTGGCATAAACAAACCATAAATTTTCTAAATGCAATACAATTTCTCGTTAAATAATTAAATGTGCTGTTTGTTCTTTATTTATGCTGAATGTATTGATTGTGCTGACTAACGAGGACAAAACAATGATTATTTTAAAGAATAAAAAATTCAGCACACAAAATTCGAAGTAAATTAAAAATTGTTCACTTTGCCTTTGCAAAGACCACAATCCCCACTATAATCAACATGAAGCCATAAAAAAATTTCTTTCTAAGCTACAGCAATAGAAATTGCAGTAGAATGAACACATAATAACAATTTTTAATCCACAATGAGCAGTATCATAAGGCATCATACATGACCATTCAGAGGAGACATAGGACATAAAAATGCATGATATTGTACGTTAGTGGTAAAATAAAAGAGCATTCGTTCAATTGAACATGGGAAGGCACACACATTCACAAAAAAAGTTTCCTGAATAGATAATTCCTTGTGGATATTTCGGACAACTTTTTATTGCATTGCAATTTTTTTATAGTTTTTATAATATAGCTAGTACGGCAGCTAGTTTTTCTTCTCTTTTTATAATATCGTGAGTATCAGCGAGTTCATGGTTTTGTTGACAGAACTTTTTGTAATGATTGAAAGATCTGGGAATCGAACTCAAGTCCTTACAGAGTTGGGTTGCATATATCTCGCCTGTTGCTTAATCATTCAGCCATAGAAACTTGACTTTCGTACTAGCAAATTCGCATATGCTTGAAATTTGACACCTCGCAAAATTGATCCTTTGAATGTTATTTTTCTCGTGCCACCCAGGATTAGTCTCTTTGCTAAACCAAAAAGATTATAAATTTCTGAAAAACTTATTCTAATTCCTACTCCAATTTCCTCAACTACATCTAAGCTTAGCCGGAATAAAGCAGATGAAAAAATTTCCACTGTAAAGTTTATTAACCATTCATTCATAAAACTTGCAGCACTGAAATTCAATCCTCAACTCACCGCAATATGGAGGAATAAAATTCTCTTTTTTTATGCTTCCTTTCACGACAAAAATAGTCGAGAATTTTTAGCAGTACAGAGATATAAATGTTGATGATATAAAAAAAAGTGAGGATTGAGGAATGAGAAATGGAATGGAAAAAGGCGTAGGTTGAATGACATTTTCCTCTTTTTCATTATTTTGAATTAAATTCAAAGTCATTCGTTTTTTTTTCTTGGCTGAATTTTGATGAATGCTTATCCGTGCCTTGATATAGATAATTAGGATTATAGATTGACTGACTGTCAGATAGGCCAATACTCCTATCGTTCCTTAAATAATTCAAAATATTTTACCAAGGCAACTTGAGTACAACAAAGCTAAAAATGCGCATAAGCCATTACCTAAAGCTCCCAACCTTTAAACTTCCCATTTTGTTGTCTTTAAAACAAAAAGAAAAATTCATTGAATGCTCAGGAAAAAATATCCTCGATTCACTCGTGTGGAAGTTCATGATTTTTCTCGACTTGATTTCTCATTTTTCTCCTGTTCTCAATTCTTATTCCTCAACAGTATTCAAGGATACTTTAATGCGATTTCAGTTACAAAATGAAATAGAAAAGATAAATATTAATTATAAAGAAAAGGGGGAACAAGAAATTTATTTATGAATTCAACAGAGACACGATAATCATGATAATGATGGTGGAGGAGTCTCATTGCTCACTGTCCTCTCTCTCTCTCTCTCAGTCCAATATCTCATTTCCGTTTTACATCAGTTACAGGACTTGTAATGCGGATGGTTGATAAGCTGTCATGGTTGAATTTTATTAATTACAAGGCACAACCCTTGGAGGAATTTTTTGTCAGATTTATAATTGGGATTAAAATCAGACCTTATTGTGGTTGATTTTTACATCAATTTTCTATTAATGCTTTTGACTTTCTTAATCCGGATGATTATATTAATTAAAATATCATCATAAATTAAATTTATCAATAATGTCCACAGCACACACACATTTTATCTCAATCATGTCAATCTCAAGAACAGATATCAATTGATGTAATGTAAAATTATTATAATTAAGATATCAATTAATATAGTTCTAAGAGCATAAATTCATTTGAAATTTCCCTTTGAGGTAAGGGATCGTTTGCTTATTACTGTACTTTCTCCAGATCAAGAACAATCTATTGAACAATTAAATTTGTAACGAGAGATGAAGAATAGTCTGAAAAGCCATATTTTGTGTTACGTAATAAGTAAACAGCCCTTAAACCTCACGCTATAAATATAAATCTTTGTGGATCACTAATTAGTTTATAAGAGAAAATCTGCAAATGACTGTAGTCGACATTTAAGTCATAATCACGTTAATATTTTCCATAAATCTCGTTTCATTGAAAATTTAACGAAATAAAAAAAAAAAAACATTTTCCGTCATTGCTGAAATTTCATATGTGCGAGAGTGTGTCTACATGTAATTATTTAAATATATGACATTGAATGAAATTAAATTAAACAAGATTTTTCAGCCAACAAGCATGACAAGACGGTATTAGCTAGACATTTCCCACACTCGCGATATTTCAGTGCTGTACACTGAAAGACAAATGATTGAAACTATAGCACACAAAAAAGAAAATTACATAATCACATACACAACACATATCCCAAGCTATAAGTACATTGTCACGGAAGAACGAACTTAAAATGTCAAAATATTCTAAAATAATAATCATTTTTCTCTTTCCTTTCTTTTTTTTTGTTCTCGTTTCTGCTGCTGCTGGTGCTAAACATTTTTCAATGTTAAATCATGACTGCGTCTGCGACTGATATAAACATCATCAAATATCACATGAATGGATATGCAGGACCGAAACCAGGTCAACCGCGAAATTTAACAGTGACAGAAATACCGAATGGATTTCTCATCTCATGGCAGGTGCCACTGGAGCGTGCACACTTAGTTCAATTCTATACAATTAAATATCGTACCGATGCATCATGGAAGACACTCAATCGTGGTCAAATTCGACCGGAAGAGACGTCATATTTAGTGAAAAATTTAGTAGGTGGACGCACATATTATTTTCGTGTAATAGCAAATTCATTAAAGAACTTTGAATCGAGCGACGAGGTTAAATTCCCAGTTCCAGCGCGTGTTAAGCATAAAGCAATAACAGCTGGCGTTGTTGGTGGTATATTATTCTTTATTGTTGCCATTATTTTATCGATATGTGCTGTTAAAATATGCAATAAACGCAAGCGACGAAAGCAGGAAAAGGGTAAGTCAATCTTATTCCAATGATATCCAGTAATGTTTTGTTTTGGTGGTGTGATGTGAAAGGGACTTACTAACAACAATACTAACAATAAATTATGAGATATTAACAAAATAGATTTATATGAATCCTATTAACATAATGTAAGTGGGACTTTTCAGACATCCACGAAAAGTCCTTCAACCATCCTTACACGTACATAAAAATAATGATTGGTTCAAAGATCATCAGCATTCTCATGATAGCTATGATTGAACCTTTTCATTGAATTCTTAGTCATAAGGGGATTGCTTTCATTTATAATTTTGTAAATAACTTATAAACATATTCATATTTGATTATATACACAACTATTTGCATCCTTTTCAATCTACATATTTGATTAGTTTCATACTGTATCTGTGCATTCTCCTTTTGTGGACCATTCATTCAATTGTACTGAATGAAAATTGAGATTCTGTTTATAATATTCATATTTGTTGTTCTACATACATGACATACACAAATATTCTATAAAATTTAAGATACAATATACATGATTCTGGCAAATGTAGTTGAGGGATTAATTGTGTGAAGAGGTCGAGTGGACATAAATCCTTATGGCATTTTATGTTGAGAATGATGTTTACTTTCTTAGGATGAACGAAAGGAAATTCAAAATTATTGTCTATGTCCTCTTCCTTATTGTTCTCCTCGTATCATAACAACTTCCATAAATTAATTACAATTCTATGTTAAAGGCAGAAATTTTGAGCATGTTGGGGACATTTTTGCATTGAGAAATTTTTGGATGTGCTTAAGGAATTTTCGACACTCTTGAAATTATCATAAAGATGCAAATCCATTCATTACTGAATTTTTTTGAGAACTTCTTTATTGAAAACTTGATTAAATGCACTTTCCCTTCGAAATTTGAACCACTTTGTATGCATTAAAGCTTTTAAAAGCTTCTGCTACACCAAAGGATGCAAATAGTTGTACTGATAAAATATTTACAGTCATCTATTATTTTTTTGTAGTTTTGAACATTTTTTTTCATAGATTTAGGTGTTTTTAGTTGCTTGACTTTTGAGTTTGTTCTTTTTGTTGTAGATTAATTTATTTCTATCATTAATTATCAGATATGAAGGATTGTTACAGCTGAGACAGTTGTTAAACGTGTAAAATCTTATTACGTTGTTAAATATATCTTAGCAATGATTCTGCTACAGCGCAATTTTTAACGAAGGTTATATCCCGAGCGACACAAGTGGCAAATGCGTCATCAAGGATCAATCAATGCTCTGACTTATTATTTCATTACGGAGTCTATTTGACTAATCCAGGGTGCTCTACATTATGTTAATAAATCACTAAATGACGGAGCTATGATGGATCCATGATGGAGTCATTGTAATATTTATGTCATTCGGGTAATAACAGACATGTTGCTAAACAACAAATTTTAATATGATTTTCATATCTTAACTACCAGATACCGATTATGCAACTATTTTTTATCGATTGAAGGAAATTTTCAGAATTTATTACTACTTCGTCAAGTTTATAGACAAAAGGGCTATAAAACCTTCGCAAGAAATCAATAACAGACATGAAAATTTCATGTCCGACAATCCAAGGCAGAATTAACTGCTTTTGATAAAATAATAATCAATATTTATACCCTAAAGAGAAAACTTTCAAGATAAACTGTAACAATCCTTTTGATCATTCCTTTTTCGACATTAAAGTTAAATACAAAACATTAAGAAAATATACAAACACACGCACACGCACACACAGATAAACATTTACATCATCTATTATTAATAAAAATACATAAAATCACAAATACAAATAAATCACTTGAGAAGGAAAGGGAGAAATGAAGTAAGTAAAATGCCATGAGAAAGTTTTGGCTTCAACAACAATAAGTTTCAAATCGAACGATGGCATAAAAGTAAAAGGAATAATTGGTTTAGAAGTGGTAAGATGGGATGCTGGTTAAGCACGTTTGTTAGCAAAATCAGAAGTTTTTAAGTCCATAGCCTTGAGAAGAAGTGTAGTCAGAATTATTTTGAGGGAATTTCAGCATATCGAAGATAATTTTTCTCCTGCTTTCATCCCTGGTATTGACTACAAAACTTATCTCTACCAAGCAAGCCGCGTTACAGCAGAGATAAAATAAAATTTGTAACAGATTGTTTGCCTTGAACGAAAGAGAAAAAGAAACTTTCTCCAATCAGTTAGACCCTGCGTGCGGTGTTTGTGGCCATAACTGTTACTTTCACCCTGTACACTTCATAGTTTATTTTGTAAATTAATGTTCTTTGTCCTTCATTTGTTGCCAATTGAATATTGAAGAATTTTATTGAAATGTTTGGGTTGGAAGAAAATAATCTGGCGATTGTCTCATCAAAAGGATGTCAAAATTTCATTAGGATTAGCAAAACTCAGGCTGATAGCTATAGGATTGGAGGTAGACAAGGAAATTTCCTTGAAAAATAATCAAAAACTCATGCCAAAGTGACGCCAAATAAGCTTAAATGTTTAAACTTTAATATTTGCTCCGAACATCCCTAAAAACTGAAAAATATACCCTTAAGACAAGCTCATTTGCCACTTTTTAAAAAATACCTAGAAAAATTCAGAAATGCTCATTTCACCAAACTTCTCATTTCCATAAACAGTATCGACTATTTTTTTGTGTAACGAGGGTGAGGAAGACCGCAAATGGAAAAACACTTACCATCTCATCATCGGCAAATAACATTTTAACAACATCAAGATATACATTTGAGGCACTTCCATATACATCTAAATACACAGAACATTTGTTTAGATTTTCATACTTAAAAGCATCTCTACGCTTCACCCACAAATGGATTCGAAACAAATTTATTGATTATTTTTTTTCTAACTCTACTGTGCATGTAGAAGTTTTGGGAAGAAGGAACAGCAAGCAAAAGTTTTTTGGTGCTTTTAATTATTTCAAATAATTATAATTTTTAATTAAGAAATTATCAACAAAAGTAGAAAAAAAATATTCAATTTGGCTCTTTACCCTCGTTTTGGCTATGCATTATGATTATTTTTAATCATAAAGGATCGGAACAGCAGGAACAAATTAGTGAATTGGAAACTAAAGCTGGTCGAGGAAAGTTTTTAATTTGAAAATTATTCACAAAGGAATGGATTTTTTTTTTTGTGCCACAGTCTATGTACGATAGAGCATTACTTCCTCACTAAATTCCATTTCCTTAGATATGAAAATCAATCTTCTGTAATCAAACGATCGCATTACAACCGCCACTTATTAATACAGAAAATTCATTATGAATCCATTTTCCATGCCTCGTGTTTACATTTTCTCGAGCCGATGAAAGAAGAAAGGGCGAAAAAATGCGATTTTGTTCTTTAGGCTTAAGTTGAGTTTGTCATAAAATTTTATAGCTTTGCTAATGATGATTGGGGTTTATTTGAATATATTGTGTACATAGAAGAATTTTATCGTATATGATTTAGTAAACATTTTCCATTATTACGATCTAAGATTTAGTGTCTGATGTTTATTACAAGTCAGAGTTGATTGCTTTATTTAATTTTTTGAAGGAATTTTGAATTGAAGGAACTATTTACTTATTACATTAAGATGACATGAGACTTAAACCATAGATATCATAAGAACTATTTTAGAAGCAAGTCCGTGACTGTCAAACATTCTAAATGATCCACCAACCTTCAAAATTGCCTAGATTGATAAAGATTTAGGAATTACCAATTATGTACCAAATAATCTAACATACAGCCACAAGACTACAACCCACATTCACAACCCTGACTCATTACACAAATAAAAGAAGTAAAAGAAACTTTTTAGAGAGCTTTAAAAAGGCATTACAATAAAATCTCATAAACAAAAAACTTAATAGTATTAATAATTCACAGTATATAAATTAATTTCCAACTTATGGAGAAGCTCAGTCATGCAAAATGCTGCTTTTATTGTATTTTTTCGCTCTCATTTGAGCTTGCATAAAGAGCAATTAATTTGGAGGATGTATAGGAAAATAATTAAATTGCTATTATAATTTTGTAAATGGAAAATTATATTTTCCTGGTATCATCTCGAGCATTTAACGGTTGGAATTTATTGTTTTAAGGGTTTTTGGCTTGGAGAAAAATGAGTTACTGTTTTGGTAATGTATTTTCTGGGGTTTGTAATTTTTTTAAACCTTGGAATGACTTGCGTAATGGCTGAATAGTCGAGGTAATCTATAGTCATGTATTTTTTTTTGAGGCTCATGAGAATCATCAGCTTACATTTTATTTTAAAGTTTTAAATCAATAAAAATTGGCCAAATAGTAAGTCCTTGTCAAGCTTAATCTGTAATGTATCCTCAAAAATGCCTCAAGATAAAATTTTAAATAAATAATTACCCGAGTAGCACCAACAACAACAACTGGTTTTACGTCGACGTCAAGGCACCATCAAGTAGAAAATAGCACGTCACGCCGCAAATTTACCGTTGTGGCAACGCTAAGGCTTCTTCACGCACGATTTCGCCCCATTATTTCATTGTTCAAATGGGGCGAAATCGTGCGTGTAGATGCCTTAGCGTTGCCACAACGGTAAATTTGCGGCGTGACGTGCTTTTTTCTACTTGATGGTGCCTTGACGTCGACGTAAAATCAGTTGTTGTTGTTGGTGCTACTCGGGTAAGTCTAGTGAAATTACAAAGTGTCTTTATCTGAATGAATAGAACTTTCATGTTCCTTTATGCTTACAATCTTCATATTCTCTATGTATATTTCTCAATATAGCCTGTCTGGTTCATAAAATATTAATGGAAACTGACTAATTACTTTGATGAAAACTTTTTAACAACAGTTTATGAACAGAAGTAGAATTTTTCTGAGTAGGATGAAACAATCATGCAAAGCAAGTTAGATAGACAGGAAGATTATCGATATAAGTTGAAGATAAAGAGCTTTTGAGTCTTTAAAAATTCCCAGATAATCTA